ATACTGATTTAGGAAGGAAGGAAGGAAGGAAGGAAGGAAGGAAGGAAGGAAGGAAGGAAGGAAGGAAGGAAGGAAGGAAGGAAGGAAACCTGCATTGTAACTTTTAATATACTGTGCATCAGCTTGATTTGTATTTTGCCTCCTAGCTTCTATATTTTCTGGAAGTTCTCCATCCCAGCCTTCAATACTCTTGTCTCCACAGCTATTCACCACCTTAAATAAAAAATAATAATTCATCTATTTTTACCTCTGAACTTGGAAAATATAAATAGTCTTTATGACAAATATCCTTTGGATTTTTATGAAATCAAATTGTCTGATCTTTCAAAACCCTCTTCCTGATCGCTATTATTGATGCAACAGCATATGCCATGAACTAAACAGTCCACATTGACCAGATTAGACAGATTTACAAACAATATGTTCTCAGTTACCAAGAAAATGATAGAATTTTGGTATGTATGTTTCCACATAAAGCTTTACGCTTTATATAAATGAAATTTATTCTGCTCCAAATACAGCACATATAGTATGCCAGTTACATACAGATTTACCTCTGAATTGCTTATATTCATAGGTGGGATCTTTATGGTGTTCCAGTCATGTTCCATCCCAATGATGTATCTTCTCACTCCTAACCTTCCGTTTTATATGGTGCTGAATCTTGCTTAGCTTTGCTTTCATTCAGTACATGCATGTAAACCTGAAATGATTATGTGCAAGTATTTTTATGGGTAGATATTTTTCTAAGATCACTCACTTTTTCTAAGATCTGAGTGATTTACCTATATTTGACTTTCTGTATTAGTCACAGGCCAATAATTGGTCTTTTACTGAAGTCTAGATTGGATAAAATAAGTGAAAGAGAAAAAGAAAGAAATCTGGGAGCCCATCTCTCATTCTCAATGATTATTATTGCAGTTATAACAATAACTTCAATAATTATACATCTGTGGTAGTAATATCTTTCAATTGATTTAAAGAAATAATATTGAATCAAGACTCTTTCAACACATTTTTCTTAAAATCATAGAATTTCATATCATATACCGACCTGACAAATCCACAGTTCATGGGATATAAAATAATGCCTTCAAGCCTCAACATAAGAGCATACTTAAATTATTTCTCATTATTTTATCTGAACCATTTGCAGTTTATTACTTCAGCATTGAAGTAATCCAGGCATAAACTATCTCTAAATGTTGAAAGATAACTTGATGATGAAAAACCTTTCTACCTTCTAATAATCTAAAGCAGATAAATGCAATTCATCCATATGTATTACTGAGAAAGTCTCTTAATAATTGGGTTCTTATCTCCTAATAAATTAGTTGGGTGCTAAAATGCCATCTTGAAAGAAATTCTGGGAGTTATCACAAACATCTCAGACTATTTTTTATAGTCCACTAAAGTTTCTATCATGGGAGTATTACAAATCAAACAATGGCAACAAAACAATTTTCAAACAGGAAAATTTGCATGCATACTTTTGCCAGAGTGAAGTCATTATAACTCATTGCAATTACATCCATTAATTACTCTTTCCATATAAATACAAATGTATCCTTGAGGTATAAATCTAAAGTCTCATGATGATTACAAATGTGTCCTTAAGGCATACATCTAAGGTCTTGTTCAAGTCATGCTTGATTCCTGGTGATTTCATGGATAGATTTATGTAGGTTTTTTTGGTTACAATATAGAGAAGTCTATAGCCAATGCCTGGAGATAATTAATCTGCAGTCTGAGATATCTGGTAGATAGCACTCTGAAGGAAGTACCTTTCAATGTCATCATGAATAGTTGTGCTTTAATGTCTGAGACCCAGTTTGGCACTGTTAAGACACTGGATTGAAAACCTGGAAATCTTGAATTCTACTCTTGTTTTAGGCAAAGAAGCCAGCTGGATGATTTTGGGCCAGTTATTTTCTCTCAGCCCTAGGAAAAAGGTACTAAAAAGCCACTTCAAAAACTATTTCCAAGAAAACTGCAGGTACTTGGTCCTGTAGTCACCAGGAGCAGAGTTGACTCAATAGACCATAACAAGAGCAACAAATGTTGCATACAGTTAGGAGCCAGCAATTCATGGCTCGAATGTCAATATGTTTCAGAACCTCTGTTTTCCCAGCATTTAGGTCAGAACTCTCCAACAGCAGTGTGTAGAGATAGCATAATGGGAAAGAATTAGAATCAGTTAAGAAAGTGAGATGATATTTAAAAAGAGCTTCATACAGAGAAGTAAAGACAATTAGAGAAGATCATAGAAGAACTGAGTTGAAAGAGCAATCTTAGTGTGCGGAGAAAGAAAAAAGTGTGGGTTTCACCCATCAATGGTTGGGAATACATTCATTTTAAGAGTTCTCCTAGGGCTTGGAAATGAGGAATGAGTTTCAGTATGGTTGTCTGTAAGCAGCCATGTGGGGTGGGGGGTAACCAACAACCTTGATTACACTGTTCACATGAGAATTATTACTGTATGTATTTGTCCTATCTCAAAATGATGTTTTACACCTCTAACAAAGCATGTGGATCTCCAAAACCTATGCCATGGTGAAGATGTCAATTCCCACAAGACTCTTTGTTGCCTTACCTTCATATTTTCCATGTAGATCTTGAGATAGTGCCTTCAGGTTCAGGATTACTGCAGTGTAGTGGAGACGTGTGCTGAAAATCACAATTCAGTTAAATCTAACTCTAAATCCAGCTCTAACATATCCTTGACTATTGGCCATGCTGTCCAGAATCAGATTTGCAATCCAAAACATGTAAAGGCAGCAGGCTGGGATGTTTAATAAATCCTTATATTTTCCACTTGTTCTGTAATTATCTTGGCTCTGTGAAACTGTTTGCCTTTTTGGGGATGAGAACACTAAATAAATTTTGGCAGAAATTTACAGAGGAAGCCAAACTTACTGAGGCATTTCATAGAAATGCTTTTTTATACCTTTATTAAATTAAATATAAATGAGTAAGATGTGCATCTAATCACCAAAAAAATATTCAATTTATTTAAGGGTCTGGTAAAAGGTTAATGATTAAAACAATGCAAAAAAGCTTCACACCCTCTACAGTTCTTCTTGTGGCACTTCATAACTATTCTAACTTCATATGGATGTGAATTAATTCTGTAGTTTAAGTAACCTGCAAATTAAAAATGGAACAAGCATTTAAAAGGTACATATAGGGTCAGTCAGACTTGAATTAAAAATCACTGTCATCACTCACATACTAATATACTGCTTATAAGCACTCCATGTCCAGAAATGATTGTAACATAACCAAAATAGCATAATTTACACATACAGAGAATGAGAGAGACAGAGATTCAGAAACCTTCAGGTTTCCCACAAGCCCCCCAAAAGATTTCTTACTGTGCATGAAACAATAGTGGGGAAGAAATAGAAAAGCTGGAATATGGATGAAATGAGTCCCCTTTGAAAAATTCAGGAGACTGAAATATAAACAGAAAAAGTGCCTAAACTAACAAAAGAAAAACCAAAAAAGAGCATAAGATAAGAAGGCATGGAAAAGAAACAAAATTATATGAGATGCCCCCCAAAAAATATATTGTGGGGGCACTATAGCATTTTAGAGGATTCACCATCATGAATAATTTGATGTAGAAACAAGACTGTATTGTTTCAATGTATTGAATTTTATTAAACCTGACTGTGGAGGCTTTTATTGGCTTGAGTTTTATGTTACTACATCTATAACTGCAAGTAATGCATTCAGGTTTGGATCTGATCTTATATGACAATATTTTGTATCTGTGTGAATTTCCCTCATGCTAAAATGGTTCAGCAGTGAACAGAGGACAAACTGAGGTTTATGCATGTACAAGGCATTAGGAAATGTGCAGGAATATATTAGTTTGTGAACTATAGGGTCAGGAAAAGAAGAATTAATGAAACGGAGTTGAAGACTGAGCAGATACCATGACCCTATAGCCCAGTAATGTGAAGTGATGACTGAAATTGAGACCCATTAAGAAAACAAATGGAGAGGCAGTAAAATCATGGAATCTGAGAGTTGGAAGGAGCCATTTATGCCACTGAGGTCAACCCTTCACTCAGTGCACATATCCAAAGTGAATCATTCCAATAGAGGTGAATCATTCCAGGTAGATGCTCTCTCACTTCCAGTGGAACTCATCCAATTAAGGAGAACCCACCTACTAACTTTCTGGGCCATTGGTTCCACTATCAAACTCTTCTTACCTTTGTAGTTGAAGAGGAAGTCCCAATAACTTTTCTCCAACCTAGTATTCTCAGATGTGCTGAGCTGTAACTTCCATAACTACCAGCCAATGGTCAGGGAGGAAAGGAGTGGTAATACAAAATTACCTTGAGGGCAGAAGTTGTGGAAGTCTACCTTATGAGCTTTATATATGTGGATGGTGGGGAACACATAGTAGATACAATTCATCAAAAAAGGAAAGTGGGGTGGTGGTGGAGGGAGAATGAGAGAGAGAGAGAGGAGGATAGTTCTTTATTTTCTTCCACACATACACATTGGGGACCATTCATTTAGGTAGTCAATGAACTGCCTGACTCCTTGAAAAGGAACACTAACATTTGAGGATTAAAAATAAACATAAAACTCTCAATCATTTCTTGCTAACAAAGAATAAAAAAAATACATTCCAGGTTCATATCACCTTGCAGATGTATCCTATATATGGAAATTTAAAAGCAGGAAGACACTTGAGTGCTTCTAAAAAATCTCAATTTTTTAAAGATATATTTCAGCATGCATACATACAAACATGCTGAAAAGTAATTAGCTCATCACGGAAGGACAGATGTGGATCAGATTATTTCACTTATAAAGCAGCAAAATTCATTTCTGAATATCCTGATCAACAATGAAAACTTTTTATGGCATTATGAGTTTATGAAATTTTGTTGCTGTATTTTCTGATGGCTTTGAAGAGAGCTTCCTTCACCTCTCTGTTTCTCAAACTGTAGATAAGAGGGTTGAGCATAGGAGTCAGGACAGTGTAAAATATAGAAAAGATCTTGTGTAATTCCTTTAGTGTTTCAATCTCAGGAACTATATAGACAAGGATTATTGACCCATAGAAAAGTGTCACTACAATCAGGTGGGATGAACATGTGGAAAAGGCTTTCTGTTGGGCAGTTTTAGAATTAATTTGCAAGACAGTGTGAAGAATGCAGATGTATGAGACCAATGTTAAGAAAAAGGGTGGCCCTGTTCCCATAATGCCTAAAATGAATGTAGCAAGCTTTACTAAGCGTGTATTGCTACAAGAAATATTTGCTACTGGATATACATCACAAAAGAAATGGTCAATTTCATTGGGTCCACAGAAGGTAAGTTCCAGCAGAAAGGAGGTTATGATAGTGTTGGTCAATAGGCCACACATCCAAGATGTGAGGGCGAGCTGGAGGCAGAGTCTACCATTCATGAGACTGGTGTAATGCAATGGTTTGCATATTGCTAAATACCGATCATAAGACATCATCGCTAGAAGATAGCATTCAGTGGCTGCAAAAAAACCAAAGAAATAGTATTGCATGATGCATCCATAGACAGATATAGATTGATCTCCAGTAACAAAACTAGCCAGCATCCTGGGCAGGATGGTTGAAAT